AGAAGTTTGCCAAAATGAAACTTTATAAATAACAGCGAAAAATAAAAATGTCTTATTTCAATGTTATTTTTTAAATATATTTCAATATACCATTATTTTTAATAAATTTATCAATGTTACGATTTTTTAAAAAATCACGAAAATTCTCAGATTTTGGAATTCAAGTGTCTATAGAAACTAATCTTAAAATCGCCAAATTAGAACCATTTCATAAAAAATTCACATCCCCAAAAGAAAAAGTTGTTTAAGAGCTCTTTTAGAAAAAATGAATTTCGAAATGCTTCTGTTTCGCTTTTGCCTAGAACTCGAGTATCCCATCATTTATATTAAAAGAATGAATTACACTCAGAACCCATTCAAATATTACCATATACGGCAGTGAATTGCCAAATAGCTCAATGCTAATTCACCTCAAATGACGCGTAAAAACAGAATTTAGATGTAAAATTAAGGACCTTCTGTTGATTTTGACCAAATTAGCACTTTTAAGGACCCAAAATCGATTCCAAAATTAAGGACTCCTAAGGACCTGAACCCCGTGTGAAATGACTGCTGAAGCATTTCTCATCTTCTGATTTCAGAAATGTGCCTCTTTTTTTACTTAATTTACTTGCTTGGAATATATGTTAAGGGAAAACTGTATGCATAAAATTTATAAAATGTTCGAATTTTGATTTAAGTTATTTAAATATTAATCTGAGTGGAAATAATTGTTTTATTGTTGTGCAAAACGAATACAATTATATGCTTATTATTATTTATTTCTCTATTTTGAACTGAATTTCAATGCTCTTCTCTTAATAAATTGCATTCTCATATTTTTAAATTACAAGTCTATTTTTCTTTTAAATTATGCATTTATATATAATGTAATTAGACAGGTGCTTATTTTTTCCTTAAAATGTCTTAAAAGTGCCTATAGGTGCTTTTTTTAACTAAACTGTGGCTACGACCCTGATTTTTTGAAGGTGTGTAGGGCTTTTACAGGTATATATTTATTAGAGTTCGTTTCTGCGTGACCTGAATTATCCTTAATTTATGACAGAGTGTATTTTTATCTCTAAAACTGTCATGCCGAATGGGCATAATATATACATAAATATAAATGTATATTATGTGTTTGTAATGTTGTGTACAGTATTCATGTATAACGTTAAATTAAGTTACATAAAGAGCATCTTAAAGTTAATCATTACAATCGTGGTGATTTACTGATTTTTTTTTTTTTTCCTACAAGTGGAAAATAATTAATAGCAAAATAGAGACAAGTATAATTTTAGTTTAATTATATGTATAGTTAATACGTTTTTTATTAAAATTTGATATTTTAATAAAATTTTTTTTTTTTTTTTGGTCGCACGTGCGCATTTAGTTTTTGTGTAATTTTGGTCTGTGTTGTTCTTTCTTTCTTTTTACCAACTTGCACTTTCACGCCGGGTTTGAAGTGAGATGTACTGAGGCTAAATGCTGATCTGCCATTCTACTTCTGAAGTAATATTTCTAAGGTCAAGTTAAAACACTTCTTCAATATAAGATGAAGCAAACATAGTGCTGATTTTCTGGGCGTGAGATATTTGGGAAACTTACTTTCAATAATGATTTGTAAAACTCTTAACTTTGGCATATTTAGAAACAACTGCTTGAAATGATTGTTAGATTGCAACTAAATTAATTCAAGCTGAAAAGTCTGACCTCAATGCTTCACAATTTACGTTGAAAGGCATAGTAAAGTTATCCTATTGTATTTGAATGGCACTGAAATCTTGAAATCTGCGTTCGAATTCAAAATGTTGTTTTTTCAAGCCATCTTCGTAATTCTTAAGCTTCTCTTTATTTACTAAGGGTATTGAATTTAAACTTGGGAAATGCAACAAGTTGTTCTTAAGTATTTGCCTGGCAAGCATATTATGTTTTAGTTTAAAAGGTTTGAGATGGGCCCAAATATCGTTGATAAATTGATTTTCCCTTTGCATTCAGGTTGATCATATGACAACGAAGATCTATGAAAAATGCAAAGTCCGAAAGCCATTCTGTATCTTCTAACATTTTGCACTCTGCAAAACACTGTTTCTTATGAAAGAACGACACAGTGTCATCTTTCAACTGCCAAACTCACTTGAAAACACATCCTGCACTAAGCCACTTAATTTCATATAATACAGTACATTAGCGTATTCAGATGGCACGAACTGAAAAAAATCTCGAAAGTGCCTGTGAGTAAGTCCATTAGAATGAATAGTATTTACAATATTCCCGAATGCATCAAGCATGGGTTTCATATTCACTGCAGATTTACACAGAGCATCTTGATGTGCAACACGACGTAGAAAAACAACATTGTTCCCTAGATAGTTTTGATTAAAGAATCCCAAAAAATCCAGATTATTTCCCTGACATATTGGTGCTCCATTGGTTATAATATTACATATATTTGTTATAGGCACTTTCAAAGTTAAAAGCCCTTCCTGAAATTCACAAAAAATATCACATCCCATTGTAATTCCCTTTAAAGAATGCATGTACGGTAGTTCCTTGGTAAAGTTCTCATCAATATCTCTTATAAATAATACTAATTGAACAGTATCAATTATATCAGTTCTTTCATCCATATCTACGGAGCAAAATTTAAATTAGCCAATCTTTGATTCTAATTGTGATGTCAAATTTTTATCAATGTCTTCGATTCTAGAAGTTACCGTTTGTCAAGATAAGCTTACAGTCTGAAAATTATTTTTCTTGTGTAGACATAAAACATCACAAACTTAAAGCATGCATTGTTTAATGAACTCCCCATCACTGAAGAGCTTATTTTTTAGCATATGTATGCTACAGTATAACTTGCATATGTAGCTGCTTCTTGGAGAGTGTTTACTTTCTAGAAAAATATTGTCGGCCTGATAATTTTTTACAAAGATGTTTTGCATTTCGTTTCCTTTCATATTCGGACATTGCTTCGTAATTGGAATTCTTATGCTTAGATGTGAAATGACAGAAAATGTTATATTATTTGAACACTGTTGTAGCTTCACTGCAGATGAGACACACTGGTTTATCTTTTGCATCTGTAAAAATATTTCCAGGTCCGTTCATCATTAAAAGCATAGCACTCTGAAGCAACTTTTCATTTTTTATTAGCCATTTTGTGGTTGAAATTTTTTATGAATAACCTAAAACAAGCACTAACTTCGTTATACTTTTAATAATTTGCTATATGTTTGCAATCTTTCCATACACAATCAATAATATTAAAACTCGCTCCAAAAGAACAAGCCGCTGGCTGGAGCTTAAAATGCACAGTCTGCCATATGTGAGGTATAATTCGCCTATATTGGATTCCCATAAAGAAAAAGATAATGCTTATTGGTGCCAATCTACATTTATCACTAACAAAGAACTTCTGCTTTTAACACTTTACCGATTGAAAGCTGTCTAATTTCCATCGATTTGTGTTTTGTAGAACAAAAATAGATACAGTAAAAAGATCATCAGCCCTTTAAAAAAAAAGAAGGAAAAAAAAATAATATTTAAACAAAGTAGAAAAGGAGATAGATATATAAATATATATTTCTTTTAATTTGCCTCGGACCTGCAAATTAAAATTCTCATAGCTTGCCCATCCCTGCACTAAGAGATGGACCTTAAGTGCATTTCCATTTCCCGTATTTTTAAGCTTTCCTTTGTGTGATCTTAATCACACCACACAAAGGGAAACACAAAGGGAAGAAGGCAGGACTCCTGAATGACAAATTAGTTGTCAATCACCTCTTTTCATTTTCACTGCATTTTAGGATTTTGGAAAACACGAAACAGCAGTTGTCTTTTGGGAGTTAACAAGCCACATTTAACCCTTACAATTGTGTAAAGTTTTGACTCCAGATGGCAATTTTGAAATCAACGAGTCTTTCTCTTGGGAAAAGGTGAAGTGCTGAAATAAAAATTTTAGCTTAAAAGAGACGAAAACTCGAGTGGAGTAAACAAAGAATAAAAAGAAACTAATATACTTGTATTCAATTCTAGTGCAGGGTCAGTAAACTTCCCATCCCTTGATGAACATAATATTTAATCCTAAACAACTTATAAATTATTTGTAAAAAAATTATTACATCATAAACTGTTATAATATTAAGAAATTCTGTAATGTCACCGAATAGGAAAGGACAAGACTGGTTCTGCCTTCTATGTGGCATGGTACCCTCACTGTAGGCGGTGGTATATATATTATATACCGGTTTTAAAATCGTATTAATAATCTATTAAGTATCACTTCTTACTGAAATGAAGTAAATATATAAGCTTCAGCATGTGCACATCATATATTTGCAGATTTTGAATTTTTTCTTCCCTTCCAATAGAATTTATCAATCTTCAAACAGGATACCTTGGAACGAGGTATATTAATTCCGTAACTGCAAAATATTGAGCATTCATAAGGTGGTGCTGCCATTTAGAATCAAAAGGAAACACTAGAAACTTAATATTATATCTTTTGGTGTAGAAAAACTAGCATTTTTTAGAAGCTAAAAAATTAACAAAATATACCAGTGCCCTTCAAAGGGTTAAGTGCCAGTTCAGAGCTCATAAATCTGTCCATCTAATCAACAAGAGTTGCATGACCTCTGTTTGCAGATCTAGTATAATTTTTCTCTGGAATCTTACCAAAGATTTAATATGTTCTGTGATGAGCCACAGATGCTTTGAATACCAAAGACGGAGCAGTTTTTTTATTAGGAGTGTGGTTTTAGTATTTTGGCCGGTCAGTGTATCTCAAAATAATTCAGCTTTTGTTAAATAGATTGATGTGAAATTTTGTGATTTATGTAATACTGACAGACTTTGTTTTTACCATATGTGAAATTAAAATTATGTAATTTCTTATTACAATATTGTCGTGAAAGAGTACATATATGGATAAAAGGGTGTTGTTTTGGTTAGAATAATATAAGAAATTTTTGTTTTCCATAATAAATTTATAATTAATCTTATTATATTTCCTTCCTCAGACTTTACATGTTTGTGAAGAAGGACTGAAAAGAGTTGAGGAAGCCACGAGGGAAACTGGTAAACCTGTGAGGTGTGTTGATATAGTAGAAAACTGAAATTTATTCATATGTCACTCTGGTAAATTAAGGCATGCATTGTATTTTACTTTATTCTTTCAATGTAAAGAAATGAAAATTGTTTTGAAACTGTGCCATTAATTGGGAATCAAATAGCCAAGAATTTAATTTGTTGATGAAATTTAAAATAAATAGTAGTTTTATGATCTATGTCTGTAAATTAATATGCATCAATGGCCAAAATTAAGAAACGTTTTGGAAAATATGTATTTTTTAAATTTGAGCACTTCTAAGTTCTTTATTGGTGGATGGGGAATAATGGAATCATGTATTTTATGATAAATTTAATGCAATTAACTGTGGTAAACTATTTTCATTTCTTAAAAGTTTATAGCTAAATAAAGACAGCATAAAAACAAAATTGTGCTATGTAAATAGAGGAAATTTTAATTCAAAACAGAAGGCCAACTTGATGATAGAATAAGGTGATATTCTCTGCTACCAGAATGATTAATAATAGATATTACATAATTATTTAATTAACAGTATTTTTTATGTGTGTATGTCTGTTTATGTGTTTTCCCATGTAATTTTTTTTAACAAGCCATGTAATCTGTTTAGAATGACAAGTATTGAAAAGTTGGCTAATCAGCAAGAAAGAGTTGCAAGATAATTTTTTTATGTGAACAGTAAACACTGATGAAATTATGAAAAGAGTTAAAAGAAATCATAAACTAAGAAATTTTTAAATTCTGGACATTCATTATTTCAAATTTGTGTAAGATCGACAATTTTGGTATAAGATTGGCATTTTCGATTATTTCATATTGGTGTAAGATTGGTGAAAGATTTCAAATTTGTGTAAGGTCGGCAACAGTATGCCATACTAGACGAATTAAAACACTGTGCCCGAGTGGCCGAATGAAATGATCTGAGGCAGGGTTTTCCAACCTTTTTGTCCCTAAGAGCACATTCCAGATTATCTGTTGGAAGCTGGGCACCATTTACTTTGTCAAGGTTAATTTATAGTTGAATAGAGTTAATACATGCACATAAAAAAAGAGATTGGTTGCATTTCGCTTTGTTCTGGTATCTGTGTTGGACCCAATTTCTATTTCATTAAAAATGAGAAATCTTTCACATCGAATTTTATTGATAACTAAAATATTTTTATTGTGATTGCGTAGCGGTGGGCACACATTAAACGATTGGCAGGCACCTGCAAGTATAAGAATGGGAACCCCTGTTTTAAGGCAATCAAAAATGATGTGCATGAATGGTTGATGATTAATGAAGTATGACAAAGTATAGGAAGGCTGTCTGTCTTGTACAAACATTAGACGCACTGAGTTGCCACATTTATCCAGTCCTTTCAACTGCTATAGATTTTTTGTGAAATTTCTTAATTGCATAATTATAGTTTACATACATTTTGCTGCTTTACTTAAAGTGTGTGCTGGTACACACTTAATGTCATTGCTATTTTTAATGCATTGGTCATTCATTTTCAATTTTTGATCCTATTTAATTGTCTTTTGAAGAACATTAGATAAACGATTAGAATAAATCATGTTTTATAAAGCCAAAAAAGTAATTTTTGATGCATTAAATTAGTTTCCAAAACTGAAAAACAAATGTGCACTTATTTTCTTGTCTGAATTTCAGTTACTGTAGTTTCAGTCTTTAATTCATTAGAAGTATTGGTAAATAGTCATATGAAATTGATTTAAAATTAAAGAATTTATTATAAATCTTTAAAAGTCACTTTTTTAATTAATTATGTATTTAAACGAGTATTAAGTAATTTGAAATGATATTCCAATTTTAGGAATATAGCTGTATCGTGTGGAAAATATGTTTTATAATAATGTTATCCTTTCTGGTGAAATCTTTAAATAATAATTATAAATATGAAGATTTATATTGCATTTTTTTTTAGCATATGATGTATAGGAAGAAAATTATGTAAAAATAATAAATACATTTTTTTCTTTTCCTTTTCAGTTCATGGACGTGCTTACTAGATTTAGAAGGCCTTAACATGCGCCATTTGTGGAGGCCCGGTGTCAAGGCACTTTTGCACATCATTGAGATTGTGGAAGCAAATTACCCTGAAACAATGGGCAGAGTTCTGATAATCCGTGCTCCTCGTGTGTTTCCTATTTTGTGGACACTTGTCAGTACATTCATTAATGACAATACCCGTTCAAAGTTTATATTTTACGGTGGTAATAACTACTTAGGACCAGGTGGATTACTTGATTTTGTTGAAAAAAAATACTTGCCAGACTTCTTAGGTGGTGAGAGTGAGGTAACTATTTTCACTTTTTATGAAGTGTAACATTTTATGGAAATGTATAGTCAATAATGAAAACATTTACAATAATTTCATTATTCACCACACATTTAAATATACACTACCCGACATTGAAAATGCTGCACCAAGAAGGAGTGACCCAAAAATTATGCAAATTTCAGTGTAGACACACATCACCAAGGATGTGAAATTCGCAGTTCTCCATCGCACATTGAAGAAGATATAAGGGTAGAAACTTGCAGAATGTTCATTTTTCATGTTGTTATTTCTGCTAGGGAAATCATTGTAGAAAATTTATTCTTGTGTCAGAGGACGCGTGTAATAGCAGAGAATTCCAGGCTCTCATCAATGAAGGTAGTTCTAGCAGACAGACACTTTTAACAAGGGACATGGTGATAGGACTGAGAAGGGCAGGTTGGTTCATATGGCAAATCTCAGCTGACACCTGGATGCATCCACAGTGCACCAGCTGTGGCGATGATGTTTCGAACCAGGAAATGCAGCAGCCAGAGTGATGTCAGCACGTGTGGCTTGACACATCCGCTGACAAGCAATGGAACATGCACGTTAATACTGCTGCAGAATTACCTAAATTATACTAATTAAATTTAGTTTCATTCACATCATCAGAATTAAAATCTGATTATCACATCGGTTTGTATGGACCAGAACCATTTACTGTTGATTGGTGGCTAGTGGCCTGCACAGAAATAATAAACATAAATACAGAAAGCAGTGCTTCATAAATTTCAACATGGAAAAGCTTTAAAAAAAATATATAAAAAAAAAATTAATCTGACGGCTATTTCTGTTAAGTTGATTCACTCTAAAAAGTATGAATAAAAAATTATGACGTTTTGGCCACACACTCAAATGCATTTGCTTTTAATATCTTTATTCTTTACGTTATTTTATTTTTTATCCGTTTTAATTTCAAGCAATTGGTTTGTTAAATGGATTTTGCTAGTATTTTCTGCTAAACTTATGCCATATTACTGTTATGAGAGGAAAATCATGTATGGCTTTGTAAAGTTTTCTGATTTAAAAAAAAAAAAAAAAAAATGTGTAAAGTAATGATGACTGAAGTATTTTTTATTCTGAATGAGTAATTACATCAATTGAAATTGTAGTAAAAAGGTTAAATGTTTCATATAATGGGCATTTACCATTTTATGAAACAGATAGAAATTGCTATATATGAAATTATAGTCAGATATTGATATAACAAATGCCGGAGAACTGATGAAGATAGTCATTTAACAAAATATTTACAGATTTGTGCTTAGAAGTCTGTCTAGTTTTCTTTTATACTTTAAGCATCACAGAACAAAATTATAACCTTTAACACAGTTCTACATTTTAAAGCATTTATAACTAAAAAAGTCATGTGAATAAAACATGCTTTTAAAATTTTAAATATAGTACAAAGTCTGAAATCCGGACTTGTCAGGACATCGGCGATTCCGGATTTGGGATTTTTCCAGATATTAGATCATCAGTTTACATCTAGTAAGAAGGCATGTAGAAATTGTAAAATTAAAAATATGAAATCATGATTTATGAAATAATGAGTATTTTGATCTAAGGGTTCAAAATTACAAAAAAAAAAAAAAAAAGCTAATTTTATTTGTTTACCTTATCAAACTTCTTTCAGTTAATGTTTAAGTTGCTTCTTTTTGTGCTATACTTTCCTTAACCCTTAGTCGCTGGTGTTTGCGTTGACGCAACGGTCAAATAAATGGTATATAAATTAACTACCTAAGATTTTATAGCACCAGAATTTTGTGTAGGGAATATTATGAAGATTATTCTGTAAAAAAATATTTGCCTTCACAATTTTGTTATAATATTAATCTTATATTTAAGCAAAATTTCGACCGGGTATTTTTCTGAAAATATTTAACGAAGAATGCCATCTATAAGTAATCTATTTTAGTCAAGGTCACCATTATCAGAAATTACATCATTAGATGTTTATTTTGGTGTTGGAAGGAAGGGAAACAGGTTGCGTGACGCTACGTCAGCAGAAACGGGTAGTCAGTCTCCTTTTTCACTCATTCCTTTCGAGGTTCTGGTGGTTATTTTGCCTGCGTTTACAAAGAAGCCCTTAGATTTTTTGATGAAAAAACAGATGATGAATGTTAATAATACCAGAATGAAACTGATATTGTTGTTGTTCCCCCAAAATGCAGAAGTGACAAAGAGAAAGAATGCAATGTTTTAAATAAAGATATATATTTTACCAATGATCCTGGGGAGTTAAAATTCACGAAAAGTAGTTCAGCCTTCTAAAAGCATTATAGTCATACTAAAAGGTTAAAAAGGCAGAAGATTGAAATCTTGAAGTGGATAAAAAAAGAACTGTTATTATGTCTCAAGGAAACATGAAGAAAGAGATAATAGATTATAAAAGACAAAATACAAGGTAAACTATGCACAGATTTTCGTTTTTCTTTTTGCATCTAAGCTATTGAGAAGATTTATTGGAATATTATTGCTTATAGGATATCATTTTTTACTCAAGAAAAAATTCCTCTTTTGATAGGACATTTCTTCCTGTTGTACAGAATCATATCACGTTTGCAGACAGAATATGAAGCAGATTTGCATTGGCTAGTCAAATAACCGATAAATTATATGAGGTAGACGTATCTAAACTTACTAAATATCACCACTTTTTAGTACTGGAATATAAGTGTCTTTTAGATTTTGAACACATAATGCGTACAGTCAAAAGTCGTTAATCCGGACTCGTCGGGACTTCGCGATTCCGGATTATCGATTTTTCCGGATTATAGATCATCAGTTTAAATCTGGTAAGATGGCATGCAGAAATTCTAAAATTAAAAATATGAAACCGTAATTTATGAAATAAAGAACAATTATGATCTAAAGGGTATCAAAATTTACAAAAAGAAAAAGCTTAATATTTATTTGTTTACTTTATTAAACATTTCTTTCAATGTAAGTTGTTTAAGTTTTGCTTCGTTTCATGTGATAATACTTTCTCTTTAATTCTATTAAACAGACATAATTTCTTGTTCAGTTACAAAGTTCCGCTGTTCAAGTCCTATAATTGCTGTGTCGAGAATACCGACTAATTTGTCAATCGAAATTTTTTCGTTTTCAATAACCTCTGTCACTTTCTTCGCTATCGGAAGCGAATTATAATGACGAGGAACTTGATTTTAAATCATATCAAAGACGGACATATCGAGATGAAATACTACATTTAGTAAGGAATTATAAGCCAAATAAAATAAAAACCATCTGCCCTGAAGATAAGGATAGTGCTGACAGATCAACTTCCAATTCATTTGCGGCGTTTCCCCGCCGAGCAGCGTGAAATTGATAAACAGATTTTCGGATTTCAAAACATACTTTCGCTTTTAGATCCTTTACATATTACAAATATATATCGGAAATTCTATTTGATATAATCGAAAGTTTAAGCTTACTTTTATAAAATTGCTCTTAACAGTCTGCAAAAAATAATAAGCCGGATCCAATTCGAAATTAAGGAACAACGCATCATCAACATTAACTGAATAGATAATTAGATAATTTTAGCTTATACTCCATTATACATAAAACGCGCACGCGAAAACGTATTCTGCCCTTGCGCACACTCATATGCGCAGTCGTAAAGGTCTTACGCGCATCGCGCAAACGCTATGCGCATGTGTGAACGTGACGAATCGCAAAAGTTTGGTAGTTTTGGGTCCGGATTATAGAACATTCGATTATGGGTGGGATCTCGAATGCTATACTATCTGTTGACTGTATTCCTTTTGCAAATCCTTTTTTTCCAAATAGAATTTTAAAATTTTCAATTCAATTTTGTATAATGTAGACATTTGTTATGGGTTCTCTTTAAATTTGTTTTATTTTATGGATAAAAGAAATATTGGTGTTTTTGGCATTCTGGGTGTTGTTTGTGCGTTTAATCTAAGTACTGTTGTGTTTTGAGAATTCCGCTTCGGTCATGGGGTTTTTGTTTTAGTACCCTTCTCTTCATTTTCTTTTTTTGTAGGAGTATTTTCTGTCTAGTGATATACAGTTTGTTTCTATTATAGATTGAGCATGTCATCACATAGAATCCTTTAATCATGGTCATTTATTTTATATAAGTTTTTGGGTCTCTCCAAAAGGGAAATTATGAAGCATGTTGGTTATGGAAGTGGGATTTGTGTGTGATTCTCAAATCGGTGGGTTGAAAATAACAAGTCAAGGGAAAAAATTTTTTTTTTTTTTTGGGACTTGCCCAAACTCGTAATCCATTACACATAACCTATTTTCGCTTTAAAAAAAAAAAAAAAAAACGAGAGAATTGCACAAACTTGCCATTGCACATTCCCTTTGTCCATGTACACATTGATATGCACCATATAAGTGGGCGTGCCAAGGGTGTGGTTTCTGCTAGATCCAACCACAAAATCCATAACTGGAAAATTTCACCTTTGTTTTGCGATATCCAAAAACCTTTAAAATTAGCGGCTATCATCATCAAATTTAGCTAGCCTTAAGTATACATATTTGGCTATGCATCACGAGCGTGGCGACTAACGACAAGTTGTTCCATTAAATTTTATCTTGCTTCAATTGCACACTGAGACAATTAACTACTTACGCTACTTCATGGTTGCTGTACCGTGGGCTACAATATAACAAGTGGTAAAGTGTCTCATGTACTCCGCTCTCATCTGCGAGTGCAATCCAAGCTAACTCGAGAAAGAAACAATCTCGTTGTAGGCAACTATGCACACGTTATTTCCATTTTTGCTTCGGTTTGAGACCAAGCATCCGACATGCTTGGCACTCTTTTTAGGGCAAATGGTAGCCTAAATTGTATTATTTTGTTATTATTGTACAAGTCTATATCTTGCACATGCTATTCTTATAAGTTCTATTAATAAATTCCACATATACTAAATGTAATCTTGGTCTATGGTGCATTACGAATTAATTTTTAGCATATTTTATTAGCATATGGAAAGAAATTTTTGTTAAATTTTCCTTGTCAACATTTTTTAGCACATTTAACTTAAATCTGTAATCATCGCCAAGCGTAATGTCAACATAAAAGGTTACCATACTCATTTATTACTCAATTACTAACATAAACAAAATTGTTTAGGCAACGCTACATGAGTCATTACTCAGGTTCTCATGTTTTGATAAACATGTGGTGATGAAAGGAAAGTATAATAAATAATGATTCACTAGGTTAGCATCAGATGAACGATGTATCTATGTTGAATGCTTCGGTTTGAGATGTGTGCCAAAGCAGATACGCAGAAATGGAGCCAAATTACTGATCATAAAAATTTATGGTAAAATGATTGTATCTTCAATAACAAGGCATTTTATTTAGTGTAGAAGTGAAATAAAGAATTGGAACTCTCCAGATATTTTATTATGCGTGGAGAGGAGAATAAAAGAATTCGTAACAAAACAAAAAATGTTGTTGGTAGTTTTGAGGTCTGGATTTTTTATCATTCCGGATAATGGACGTCCGGATTTTGGACTTTGTACTGTATTTGAATGAATATGAACTTTTTTGTATTTTATATTTGAGTTTTATTCCTGACTGTTAAATTACATATATAAATGAATATTTTAAATAAATTATCTTGAAAATTTCACCTAAAGTATTTTGTATGAAGGATAAAAATGCTATTAGATTTTAATCTCACATAATTATTTTTAGACCAAAATATCTGAAGGTGGTCTAGTGCCCAAGTCTTTTTACATGTCAGTTGAAGAATATGAAAAAGAGAAAGCGGAGGGGCATCACCTGTTTGATGATTCCATGTACCATGTTATCAGTCTGGCTAAAGCCATTTCATGAAGTAAGTTTTTTTCTCATGAATGGTAGAAATTATGGAAACATACCGTGGTACTTTTTTAGTACTTAAAAAAAAAAAAAAAAAAAAAAATATGTTCTGTTTTTGTTATTCTAGAATCGATTAAAATATTTTTGCTATCATTAAACAATGCCTTTTCATGTAGTATTGTGCTTTGTTCAGCTTTATTCGGTATTATTTACTTCTCGGTTTGTTTATTTGAGTCAAGAACTGATGCTTATTATCTAAAAGATAAACGACGCTATTGATTGTTACTGTTGAATACTCAAGAAGTAGTAAAAGTGGGGCTACATACAGCAGGATCATTGTTGACTGGGTCAGTGATAACAGAATAGGTACTGGATTAAAATTTTTTTAACTTTTTCGGGATGGGTGGCCACTATATTGTCAGTTGTGTTCACTTTAATCGTCATGTTTTTTTCCCTCCTTTCCAAACTAAAATATTGGGATAAAATTTCAAAGTTGATGTCCATGGAGTCTTAACCACGTACCTCTTTTAAAGGCCTTTGTATTTCTTTTTATTATATAAATTTTCTCTCATTGAGGAAAAGCATCTAAAAACCTAGTCACTAATCCCTACATTTCCTTTCTTTTTGTGTAAGAAATTCATCCCACTGAGAATCCATTAAACAACACACAAGGATCTCTGTTGCAAGAAGGGAGTGATTTCTTAACCTTTTCAAGACGGTTGTCCCATATACGCATTCCCTAAGACAGGGTTCGTACGGCCCTTAAGAGTCCTTAAAAGCCTTTAGATTTTTTGGAATCGATTTTTGGTCCTTAAAAGTCCTTAATTTTGGCCAAAATCAGCAGAAGGTCCTTAATTTTAATCATCTGAAATTTCTGTCTGTTTTTATGACTGTCATTTTGAGCGTGAATTAGTATTTTGAGGAATACTTTTGGCGATTCACTGCTGTATATATGATTATCTTTTGAATGGGTTCATGAGTTATAATTTGTTTCTATTTCTAATATAAATGAAGGATACCGAGTTCTAAGCAAAGTGAAACATAAGCCTTTTTGAAATTCTTTTTTCTATAAAGAGCTCTTAAACAATTTTTGCTTTGGGGATGTCAATTCTTTTATAAATGTTCTAAATTTGGTGACTTTCAACATTTTGGCGATTTTAAGATTAATTTCTATAGAAACTTTTTAATTCCGAGATCTGAGAATTTTTCGATGATTTTTTGTAAACATCGTAACATTAATAAATTTCATTAAAATAATGGTAATATATTGAAATTATATTTAAAAAATAACATTGAAATAAGACATTTTTATTTTTCGCTGTAATATTATAAAGTTTTATTTTGGCAACTTATTACACAATATTTTAAATCTGAAAAATAAACAAGGTATGATGCTATAAAGCACAATTTATGAAACAGCTCTTAGCAAAAGCAAAATTAGCTATGTAATTAATTAAAAAATGTCTTCATTTTAATTTTTTCATAGTAAGAGGTTTTCCCATGTAACTGTCTCAGAATATTCAAAATTCTCAGAATGTGCATCAGTTTTCTCTATAAAATTAATTTTATACTTTTTCCCTCCTATTTTTTTCCCAAAATATTTCTGGCAAATGTCTCCATGGTATCAACATGTAATGGATGTATTTTACGGAAAGGTTTGCAATGAATGTCTTAATTTTTGGAGAACATGTGGAAGAACAATGAAAACATAATATTTAAATGTTTTACTTCTGAAACTATAATCTTAACATATTTATCTTTTCTTTATTTTCTCTACTTTTTACTAGACAGATACGTGGAAAATATCAAAAATGCTTCTGATTTTATCACATGGCAGGCATTATAGAAAGGATTTTTTTTATAAAGAAATTGAAAACTTACAATTTAAAAGATTCATCTAATATTTCTTAATGCATCATACACATTCGAATGCCTGCTATAAATCCTAAACGTTTTGCCATTTCTAGATTTTGTTATTCAGTATGTCACTCAATTCTAGAAATTCTGATAAATCAGCTCTAACTTGCCTTTACTATATATATTTCATATTGCTTTTGAATGTTCTTATTACTAAAGAAATAAAATTAGCTGCTTTTTCTGTACATTCTAAATGCATTTAGTGTTTTTTAGAATAACATAAATCCTTAATTAAATAAAAATTCTAAAAGAAAAGGAAACGTGTTGAAGAAAGAAACTGAATACATAAAGGAAATTATTCTTCAAAGATATGTGCAGTTATTATATGTAAATTACCCAATTGTTTATGATTTCACTTACTATATTTCCCCTTTCTATTTCCTCATATGATAGAGTTATTGAGCCAGATTAAATTAAAATTAAGTTGTATAATCTTTCACCACTAGTCCACATTATTAGTTTGAATTTGACTGTTCTTGTTTAATTACGTCACCGTGAGATGTAATTGATTTTGTTAGCATTAGAACATGCCTTTATGTTCTGAGCTCTTTTTAAATAAGAAGTTTATTTAAATATTTATTTTAATAACGATAATATGCTTCACGCCTGTCGGGAGTTTTGGACAATTTAACTTTTACCAGATCAATTAAACCCGCATAGGTTTATTGTGGAGAGGTTGACAAGTTAGGAGATAAAGATGCAGAAACTAGCGACAGTATTGATTTGCATATTGAGACAAATCTTTAATTGTTAGAAAAGATGCTTAAAGAGAAGGAAATCGTATAAACTAGTCAAAATGTTCTGGGAAGCTTCAAATTAAATGACGGATAAATATTTGTTGATGTTGTTGTTTCAAAACATAGATGTTTTGTAGCTTTTAATGCTATTATCTTAATATCGTTTAAGAAACTTTAACTTATACTTAATTACATATATTTTAAACTGTGAAATTTTATTAAATTTTGATTTAAATAGGGCTTTTTTAACAAATATTGTTAAAAAATAAAATTTAATGGTGGTCATGTAAATCCATAATGGTTATCAAACTATCTAATTTAATTATTTATAACTAACTGCTTACCCTTAAAAATAATTTCTACATATTAAAGCAAGTTATTGCCTTTCATTAATACTCTCTGTGGTCACAAGATAAATTATAAAAATGTAAAAATTCAAGTAAAACATATTCTATGCATCTACTTAGACTTAAAATAATACAAAACAACTTATCACCTCTGATGCTTTAATGGCTTATTGGAACCTTAAAGTAACTGGGTTACAACCCCTGGAACTGTACATGAAGCTACGACACTAACTGCATAAAACAGAACCTGACTAACTTTTCAACACTTGTCAACCTTGCCTACATCAGGCCTTTCAGGTTCGTTCTAATCAGCAGGTCTCTCTCTAGACAAGCAGCAGCAATGACAACATTCAGTCTTTTGGTTATGAATCATGCTGCTTATGATCTTATTTCTCATTTTAACCTATGCAGTTTGACAAAGAATCTACCTGCTGTTTACTAAACCTGTAGACTGACCAAGTATGTGACAAAATGAGACGTAACAAAAATCAACATAAAGCTAACTTTTAGTAAAACGTAAATGTCGCTTATCTTCTTTCAAATATGACCAACAATTATAAGTGTAAAATATTTATACTACTTGATAAATTGCATAAAGTTTATTTTATTCTCAAACTTATTAACAGTTATGTTAATTAATTCATGTTTAGCAATAATTAGGGATCTATTTTATTTTTAGGATTGTATTGCAAAAGGGAAATTCAGGCATAGATAATATTTTCAATTGAATTTACTCAGTTCCCATTTGCTCATAGGTCCTTAATTTTTTTCATTAACGGTTCTTAACCCCTTCGCGCCGGCTGTCACGTATACGTGCCAGCAACAAACACACTTATCTGCCGGCCGACACGCAGGCGTGCCAGAGCATTGTTGCGTTTTCTACCGACTGTCACGTATTTGTGCCAGTACCTTGGAACGTTTTTCAAACTATAATTTCTGCCACAAGATGGCACTGTATGCCCATATGGTTTCAGATACACGTACATTAGGCCTTCTTCTCGAAATGAAAGAAGCATGACTCACATACACATGTTTTTGATTATATAAACAAATAGGGAACTAAATGTTTCCGAAAGGCGTGATTTATGACGTCTCTTTAAATCGCACTTTATTCGCACGTGATAGTTGTTTATTGTAAGTAGAAGTTTTATATGCGCTAAAGCGTTGAGTATTTCGGTTTACAGTTCAGTTTTTAGAAAATAATTAGATCTTGTTAGACGTGAATTCTTTCTGTTTTTACCGTTTCAATGTCGAAGCGTCGAAAATGTTTAACAGAGCATGAAATAGCAGAAATGATGCAAAATATTTCAGATATTGATTCTGAAATTCTGATATTCTGATATTGATTCTGAAAGATTAACTGAAAGACATTTTCCAAAACTTTGTTCAGAAGAGACTGATAAGAAAATGAGACGACGATGCTTCGTTTGTTCACATTCCCGGAAAAATCTTCGAAAACGGCAAATGAGTTATTACAAGTTCAAGGAATGTAACGTAGGACTGTGTGTAGATCCCTGTTTTAAAATTTTTCATACGAAAAGAGAATTTTAAGTAATATATTTAGTTTTCAGATGTATAATGTTATAAGTCATAAAATGGTGAGTAATTAAAATAAAATGTGTAAAATATGCATTTAAACAAAAAATAAGGTAATTAAGTTATATATATAAAATATCTATAAAGCATAAGCCATTTAAGTACTCTATAGAGCATTATTAAACAATGCGTTGATACTTCAGAAATTTCATGGATTTAGGCTTAGTAGCAAAAAAGCCCCCGGCCCTGGAGAGACGCTCGCGGAAGACACTGCCGGCCTCCGCGATAAGCGCGCGTTTTCGCTACCCGGCTCGAAGGGGTTAAAAGTCCTTAAAAGTACTTAATTTCCATGTACAGAATGTGTACGAACCCTGTAAGAATGTCTCTTACAGCTGGGCGTCCCATCCACGCATCACTAGAAATTGCATTCAGAGGATGAGTGATGCATATAAGCATTTTTAAACTGAAACGTTTTTCTGAGGACCATTAGATGGCATCCTATGTCCATTACTTTTGAAATGAACATTGTTTTAGGTTCCTGACCTTGAGTTTGATATATTCTGCCTGACTTTGGTATTTTACTCATCACCTGTTGCGAGGATGGAGTGGGGGGAGGGAAAGCGTAAACAGAGGTGGGCTCTTTAAATGGCAGAGTGCTAATATAAACATTCGCGTGTCTGATTTATTTCCAATTCCTTTTTTTATTCTATTTTTCCCCTCTACTATGTAGGTCTTTTAGGGTTACTATGTGGAGTTCTGTTACGTTTTGCATTGCCTTCAGCTATATTTTGGTTTCTTTTCTTTTTATTTTGAAAAGGCTCACTTCCAGTCTATTATGGTGAGAAGGCACTATTTATCAGAGTAAGAATACCCTAGTATAGCTATTGAACTATTTACTAACACAGTTGAGAGTGATGATTCATTTTCTAAAGAGTTAGAAAGTGATATTTCTCTGTGCTTCAAGATTTACCACTCTCAGTCTTCATTTTAAATTTGTTACTTCTTACTGTAAATAATCTTTATTGTGTTGTTTTATTAATTTTAAACTTTATTGATGGACTTTATCAATTAAAACTTTGGAATAACTTGAATAGCACTTCCGAAAATTATTTTACAAGATAAGCAATTTTTTAAGTATAGTTTCACGTAAAATAAAGAAAAAAAGGTTATTAAGTGCTAATTTTAACATATATAAGAGCTCAAGTAATAATCTAAATTACGATGTTAGAAGTAAAATTTTTTTTTCTGATTTTTTTAAATAAAATTTGGCTTAGCGATGCAAAACCCCCGTCCTGTATCGTGACTGCCTTCAAGTAATAATCTAAATTACAATGCTAGAAGCGAAATTTTTTTTTTCTGATTTTTTTAATGAAATTTGGCTTAGCGATGCAAAACCCCCGCCCTGCACGGTGACTGCCTTCGGTTCCCTTCCCTGCTGCATGAGCATCTTAAACAAAGGTGTGCCGGCGCGAAACACTTAAAGGGCAAAAAGCATTAGGTTCAAGATTCCCATCCTTTCAAGCCTCTTACAGCTGCAAACAACCCTTCCCAAAAGGTTAAAGTAATTTGTGATAAATAATTTAATTTTGAGCTAGATTTGGGAGCATATGATGTTTGTATTGATATTCAGTTCATTGGTGACAGTTAGAATCATAGTTAGTTGGGAATAATAATACTGGAAAGTAATTTTAGTTCTAATGGTAAATAACAAGAGTACTAGTATTGAATGATTCTAGCATTCTGTAATTTTGCACAGTCTCGATCTAAATTTATTAGTATTATTTTTTTTGAATAATTCCTTTGCTTGATATATTCTTTCCTGGTAAGGTAATAATGAGGTTTGTAAATATATATTGTAAAAAATTTCAAAACGTCCATTTTAAATGGGAACCATTTCAGTGTGCTTGTCTTTGCACATGAAAATTATCAGCAGCACTAAAACTTAAATCTTCATGGCATTTATAATCAAAGAAAGTTATCTTGCTAGAAAACAAGCTTTTTTTTTTTTGTGCATTTGATATGCATTAAGAAAAGCAAATTTATAAATTAATTAATTTGATACATCAGTTTTTGTCTTAAGTTTTATACAAAGTACAAAAGCTGATGTTGCAAAATGTCGCCATAAATAGTAAGATTGTACTGTTATGTAAGTGCCTTTCTTGCAATATCTAAAATTTAGATTTTTTTTCTATAAATATTTGCTGTATTATGTTATGATGTATTGAATTTGAACAGCTGAGCAGCAAAAGCTTGATTTTATAAATTCCCCCTTTTTTAAAGTATGTTTTGGATGCTGTAAATAGCAAGTTATAAAGCAGGTAACTACTTCCACAAAGACATTGGGTTAGAATTTGTTATGTGATGTAATGCTGTATTTTAATTTCCAAATTATAGGTCTTGGAATTTTTTTGAAGATAAGAATTATACAAGGTTGTTCAATAAGTTCGCGGAACGCCATCTATTCGTCAATATTAGACCTAAAACTTCATTGCCATTTTCATATTTGTTCTTTCTTAGGAACACGTCAAAAGTTTCATTTTGATCTGTTAATTTATTCATTGTTTAACCGCCCTTTATATCTAATGTGTTGTGCCTTTTTTCAGGTATGGATAAAATTGAGCAATGTGCAGTTATCAAATTCTTTGTAAAGAAGGGTTTAAAGGCAATGGAAATTCATACCGAAATGGTGAATGTGTTGGGTGAATCTGCTCCTTCAAAAACAATGGTTTGCAAGTGGGCTAGTTTATTCAAAAGTGGTCGTACCAGCCTTGAAGATGATCCACGAGAGGGACGTCCAAAAACTGCATCGACACCATAAATCATCGGAAAAATACAAGATATGGTATTGGAAGACCGTCGATTGACTGAAAGAGATTTAACAGAGGCTTTAGGCATTTCATTGGGCACAGTAAGCAATATTTTGAGTGTTAATTTGGGTTTCAGAAAACTCTGTGCAAAATGGGTGCCGCATTCTCTAACGATGGATCAAAAACACATTCGGATGCGACTTTGCCAGCAACATTTGAAGCGTTTTAAGAAGAATAAAAGTGACTTTATCTGTCGATTTATCACAATGGTTTAGACTAGGGTCTACCATCATGATCCTGAATCAAAACAGGGGCTAAGGAGTGGTGTGAACCCAGCTCTTCGGCGCCGAAGCGAGTTTGTGTGCAAAAATCAGCCAAGAAGGTGTTAGCATAAGTTTTTTGGGATGCGAAAGGAATTTTGTTTATAGATTTCCTTCAAAGTGGCAAAACAATTAATTCGGATTATTATTGTAACCTTCTGAATCAACTAGACGAAAAAATTCGTGAAAGAAGACCCGGATTACAGGAGAAAGAAAATCATTTTCCACCAAGATAACGCACCTGCACACGCAGCTCAAAAAACCATTGCTAAAATAACTGAATTTAAGTACGAATTGTTGCAACATCCAGCCTATTTGCCAGATTTAGCTCCCTCCGAGTTCTGGCTCTTCCCACATCTCAAACAATGTCTCCGTGGAAAACGATTTTCTTCAAACGAAGAGTAATAGCTGCTGTGGAGGGATATTTTGCAGAGCTGCCGAAAAACCACTACAGTCAAGGGATCCATAAATTAGAAGACCGTTGGAATAAGTGTATTGAAGTTGAGGGAAACTACATTGAAAAATAAAGTCATTTTTACAAATAAAAATTGGTTTCTTCATTTCCGTTCCGCAAACTTATTGAACAACCTGGTATGTAGTGGATTATTAAGTCGTCACTAATTTGCATACCAATTTTCTAACCTTTAGCAAAATATTGCCAAATTACAAAATATGTCTACTGAATAATACCATTTTTGTTGGAAATGTTTATTTGTATGACTGTGAAACAAATAATAATGGTTCAGATTTTTTTGTTATGCAAAATATATTTATTTTCCCAGTTTGAAAAATGAGAAATGAAAATGACAGTTCTGTGCTGGACAATTAATGTCTAATTTTCTCAGTGTGTTCTTAATATGCATTTACTGAATTAGCTTACAGTGTGTAAAAGTAATTTTTGATTTTTTGCTTTAAATTATGAATTGAAACATTAAGTTGTATAAGCATGGATTTTATGTGCAAGTCTTTTATGTGTATGTCTTAAGAACTTTTCAATAATTTTACAGGTTGTGCTTTCTATCACAGACAAAGGCAGTGTTATCTGTTGGGATTTTGATGTTATGAAGGATGATGTTACTTTCAGTGTATATCGAACTCAGCAACCCTTGCCACAGCCTGAAAAGGAGCAAAATGAAGAGGAAATGCAAGGTTGCGGCCATCCTTCATTGCCTCTTGGTATGCTCACCTTAGATGCTCCTGTTCAGAGTGTGATACCAAAGCAGTGGGTGCTTGGAAAGGATTATCACATTGTTGAAACTGTGATCACTTGTAAAGATGGTGAGAGCGTTCAGGTATCGTATGTTTCTGTTTTATTATTTTTTTTCTTTTCCTTTTTTATATTGCCAGAAGCAAAACTATCAGTTTATTTTGCATATGAAAGTAAGGTAATCTTTATTTTTCACCATGTATTTTTGATATATTCTATAATCGTTCGTATTTACTGGAATGGATGGGATAAATTTCTAGCCCAATTAAAATTAGTATAGTATGGATTACTAATTTATTATTAGTATGGATTCGTAAAATTTGAGATATAAGTTGTATGTATAAATAGTTGTACGAGAATTCTGTGTATTCAAAGTAGTTAGGGCACCGCCACTGTAGAAAATTTTCCCTCCTGAATCGAACACTATTGATAACTATTTTTAGTGACTGAAGTAAGAAATAAGTGTATTTATTACAATGCATTTTTATATCACCATTAGAATAGACTTACACATTTATTGTAATTGAAATGGTGAGATATCTTCTTTAGATCTTTTTGTTAAGCCATTTGGCAACTATATTTTGTCACTGTTTGATGCATACTATATCAAATTATAAAAGGAAAGATAAAAAAGGAAAATTTATAAAAGGAAGTCTAAAGCAACCTGAAGCAATTAAACATTGCTTTTTGTTTTTGCAGCTGGGGAGATATTTCCATTTAAACTATATTCCATTTATATTGGTTAGAATAGAGAGAAGGGTACCCTTTGTATTATTGCGAAGTTGTTGTTTCATTTATGGTAGCATGAGTAGTTGAATGCTATGGAAACCCTATTATGATGTAATCAGTTGCATGATTACGGTAAATTCATAAAGGTTTGTAGTGTTTGTGTTGGTTAGGAAGTATATTGCTTGTTTTGTGGTAAAATCGCTGAATGTGGTAAGATTAATTTTAAGTTTCTGTACAATTTAGAAAGAAAGGGACAAAGAGCATTACTTGACTGGTGTGTAAATGAAGGTTTACGTAGTAGCCATTATTAGGTGTTCTGTTTGTATGAAGGAAATGTGCACGGTCGAACGTCGCTACGGAGGATATTTTTTACTCTTATTTTGTGAATTTATATGGTGATGCCAGTATACAGATTCTAGTTCAGGTAATTTTAGGAAGTTTTTGGATGCTGTTAAGGAATTTTGTTTGAATGAAGACATGTTAATTCGTAAATAAGGTAAGTGGATATTTCCTTTGTGTAGTGCAAAGATGAATTTCCTTTTTTATGTCATTTCACTGTATGATTTAAATGTTGTTTATTGACATTACATATTTTTTGTTGACTGCTCCTCTGACTTTTTAAGTGAATATAGATCGATGTGTACATGGACAAAGTGAAGGGAATGCGCAATGCCTGGTTTGTGCAATTCTGTGATTTTTTTTAAGTGAAAATAGCTTGATGTGTACAAGCGTCAATTTGTGTCAGGGGGTACCGTAAAAATATTTTTACCAAACTATTTCATACTTAAAGTTCTTAACATGCTTTCCTGCAAACAAAAAAATATGATTTCATTAATATTTATGAATTTAGTTTACTTCATAGTGTTTACAGTTTAATGTTTAAGAGCAGCGGTCTCTAAACTTTGTAGCCAGTGGTCTATATTGACTATTTCACAAAGCTTCAAGGTCCCAAGACCTAGTTAATTCATCATAGCATGGTGGTGTAATTATGATAAATAATACACACATGTTTTTAAACAAGGCAGCAAGATTTTTGAAGTTGGGTCTATACTGCTATGATAACACGAAGAGACTTGTTTTTTACACTTTCATGGAATTTCACACAACATAAATTTCTTAACTGTTAAATAAATGTAATAATAAATGTTTTCTTAACTTAAAAATATTATTGTCTCATAATATGAAAGATTTCTTCAGTTTGCAAAGCAACTTTACTTTCATGTGGATTTATCTCCCTATTGCAATGATATATAAGCTTTTTATATATATATATATATTCTGATCAGGTGCAAACTTCACTGACAGGCATTGCATATTTTAGGCAAGTTTTAAATGGGAAAAAAGTCTGCAAAATTAAAATTCATTGCAACATATATTAGAACAAAAATTAAGACTTAAACAAAACTGCTGCTGAAAATTTCAGAGTAGGTAACAATAACACATGAAACCTTTATTCTGCTAAAAAATACAGTTAAAAGTTTTTTAGGAAAGTACTATGGTATTTCATTCACTGTAAATTTAGAAATGGTTGTATGATGTTTATAATACGTATGACAGGGAAGAAAGAACATGCTAAAACATGCTATAAAGAACATGCATGACATGGAATGGCTTTATAGATATAAAAATAGTTAATGCATTTGTTACCTTGCTTATTTTATTTTAAATTTTATAAAATTATTTAAATAGCCTTTGGTGGCTGGCATTGATAGTGTTCATAGGGTGGATCCAGACTGCAGAACATAGTTTGGAGACTCCTGTTTTAAAGTAAGGCTGCAAATATTTTAATTTTGGTTTTACTCAATCTAAGACAATTAGAAGTATCAGCTGCATGATCAGGTGCAATTTTTCATACATACCTGTCTTATATATTAAAAATTTCTGTTAAGTTGTTAATTATATATAAACTCTTTTGCAAAAAAATCGATGCACGATGAAGGAAGTGGTTGTTTTTGATGAAATTGAATACGTGTCTAGCTCATACAGAGATAAAAAATGATTAAAAAATCAATGTCATAGTACCTGTTCAATAGCTCACAATCATCCATTGAGTGTTCAAATTAGTAGTTGGTCGAACCGCCAGGTAATGCAACCGGCCGATAAGCATATTGTTGAGCTATTAAAGATGTACAGAGGATGACTTAAAATGACCTGCTGTCATAAGAAATAGTGCCCCACACCATCACACCAGGGGTTATGGCTGTATGCCTTTGTAAAACAAAGGCTGATTGGGACCACTGGCCCCATCCTCTCCAGACACGAACACGGTGGTCATCTGCTTCAAGAGTGGAACAGGTTTCATCACTGAACACTATACGATGCCAGTCTGATGGCAGCCATAATGATCGTCTGCGACACTGCTCTAGACGACTCCGCCAATGTTGTGGGGTCAAAGGCAAATGTTTTAAAGGCCTCTGTGAGCGTAACACCGTCTTAGACAAGCGCCCTGAGATGGTGGATGGTACCACGGGAGGTATAGATGTGGCTGTAGTGCATTGAATAGTCAACAATGATACCTTTGGGGTGGTTCGGGCCTGACGAATAATCATCTTATCTTGCCTTGCATTTGTGCTCCTTGGCCTTACAGAGCGTTCATTTCGTTGGCAATTTCCTTGTAGCAACCATTGCTGACAACATCTTTGCACAGCAGTGTCTGTACGCTGCAGGTGGTGGCTTATTGCTCGCTATGACTACCCAAGTTCACGCAACCCTACAATGCGACCACATTAATCGTTTAGTCATTTGTAAGATTTTCAATATCGTCGTAATGGCATCTTAAGTTGTTCCTTTACAGAATTACAATGGCAGCAATAAAAAAGATAAATTTTCCGCCTCTGTTACTTGTTTTATACTTTTCAAATTGCACACTACAAATGAGCACTATGATCACAGTCCTTGTTTATTTTCCTTGAAACTTTGATCATTTGCATGTTTGATCAGAATGTTTTTGCATACCAAATTTCATCAGGATCGCAAAAGTCCTTCTTGGTGCTTGGAGTTTTTTTTGCAAAAGAGTGTATTAAAATCTGTATACGTCTGTCTGTAATATCATCTCTCGAACTGCTCACTTCTGGGCTTAGTGGAACACACCGTTGATTCCAAACATTCCTGCTAAGCCATTTTGAATATTCTTATCTTGGTATGACTTTAATTAGCCAAGCTATTAATTAAAAATGCTTTTTCGAATGATAAATTCACTTCCTTTGTTTGGTTTTTCTCTATTAAAGGGATTTGGCTATGCTTCAATTTTTTTTTTCACAAATATCTATGGAACAGCGCTTAGTTGAATTTCGAGACACATATTTGTCTGAATTCGTGATATTCATTCCATAAGCTTATCTGAATCCATTGATACCATTCTCATCTTCGTATGACTTAAATCATATGAGATATTAATTAAAAACTCTGAAAACGCTAATTTGAATGAGACTCAATAGCCACTTTAGGGATTTTTTCTTAGGTTTTCATGTTTCAAAAGACGTAGGAATTTGGCACCATCTCAGTGTGTTAAAATCTATATACCGCTTTATGAATTTTTATTTTTAGAAACAATGAATTTCTAGCTTAAAAAATTATTTGTTATATGACTTTTTACCAGGGGGTTGCAGTCCACTCATCTGGCAGGCTTGCCCGCTAGTAACTACATATTTTACATTTGTCAAAATCTTAAAAATTATTGCACAGCTAATAAGCTAATGAGGGTGCAGGATCAAAATGGAACATTTATTTGAAGGTAACAAGTGATGATGGGAAGTGTGAACTCAAGCATTCACATTTGTACTTCGATTATGTAATCATCATAGAGATAACAAGGTTTTCAAATTTTCATTTCAGTGTTATTTTCTCTGTCATTATAGTTAAAGAGAGTTTATAAAATATTATTGAGATTTTACTTTGTTTCATATATAGATTTTACTTTGTTTCATATTATTGTATCTGTCCTGAAGATAAGGATAGTGCTGACAGATCAACTTCCAATTCATTGCGCGCCGTGTCGTTTCCCTTCCCCCGCAGAGCAGTGTGAAATTGATAAACATATTTCGGAATGATTAGATAATCAAAGGATATGCCTTTATCCATTTTTTTGCAGCAATTCCACTTTCTGTTTAATGGACTTCGAAACATACTTTCGCTTTGTAGATCCTTTACATATTAGTAAATATATATCGGAAATTCTATTTGACATAATCGGAAGTTCAAGCTTACTTTTATAAAATTGCTCTAACAGTCTGCAAAAAATAATAAGCCGGATCCAATTCGAAGATTAAAGGACACTGCAATCTGCAACATTAACTGAAATAGATAATTAGATAATTTTAGCGTATACCATTCGTTATACATTAAACGCACATGCGTAAACGTATTATGCGCATGCGCACATCTATATTCACAGCCGTAAAGGTCTTACCCGCACGCGTAAACGCTTATGCGCATGCGTGAATGCGACACATGCACAGAAAGTTTTTAGCTTTGAGGTCCGGATTATAGATCATTCCGGATTATGGGTGTCCGAATTAACGACTTTTGACTGTATGAAAGATCTCAGAATGGAAAATGGTGTGCCCAATTTAATTTTGTAATTCTTATTTAATTCCTTTGAAAAATGAACAACTTATATTGTATATGGCATGTGACCATAATGGACATTACGTATAATACGAGGGTCAGTCAAAAAATTTGTTGTATTACCTAAGAAAACAAACCAGATTTATAATTCCACAGAACGTATTGATAATGAAGAAAATGATCCAGTTCCAAATGCAGATTTAATAAAAAAGATGTCTGAAATTGGGCAATCATTGATAATCCTAATTAGGAACATGCTGGGGAATTTCAGTGTGAACTTTAGTTGTTGCTGACAACCTCTTACAAGGAAATAATGCCTAATCAAAACATGAACTCAGCGATTAATGACTGAATTTTTTTATAAAATTGGTGAAACATCAACTTCAGAAGAGACTTATGCTGATTTTGCTCAAGAGATTACTGAAGAATTGTCATTAGGACAGAAAGATGATGATGTCTGCATCATTTCTGGTGATAGTAGTGATATTCCAGTTACATCTAAACATATGCTTCGTTTATTGTCAAAAAGAGAAAATGAATAAAATCTTGCGTTTTTTTTTTGTTTTTGTTTTTGTTGTTGTTGTTGTTGTGTGTGGGTGTTCATGAAGAATTTTCTTCTCAAATGCAAATTTAATATACTTTCATAACATATTTATTACATATGTATTTTGTTGAAACAAAATAATAAGCTTAAAACAAATATTTTCAGATTTAAAAAAAAAATATTTTTATTAATTTTTTATGTCTGGAGCTGATCTTTTTTCTTCCATAGATACGTCTTTTTTTTACAAAAATGGTTTCATAGGTTTATTTTTTAATAACACAGTAAATTTTTGATGAAATCAAGTATTAAAAATAAATTAAGTATTCAGCTTGTTGAGTACATCTCCGTATTCAGTCTGATTTGATGAAAAAATTTGACTTTCTTGTCTTTAAGTTCTGTGTATACAAATGAGAAAGGCAGTGTAAAATGCTTAAAAGAGTTTGTTTTCATCAATATTTTATATATGGAAGTAAATTTTTATAAACTTGCATATTGCAATATCTATTAAAAATGTACTATAAAAGATTCTTTAATTGAAATTATTGTTTTTAGTTTTTTTTATCTTTAATTGGTCTTGCACCAGTTTCTCCCCGTAAAGTATAAAATTATCTTTTCTTTTTGCATTGAGTTAATTCCCTCTCAAACTTGTATCTCATCAAAAACTGTTCATTCTCATATAATTTTGAAAATAAGCTCAAAATGAGTCCACAGTCTGAACCATTTTCTGTAAATCATTGTTTCAGGTTCTTTTAACACAACATTTGCTGAGAGAAGAATTATTTTTAATTGACTAGCACAACCAAAAATTTAGTAAAATTATAGGCAGAGATCAACTTGCAGTCTTACCTTGAAACAAGTCTTTAATCACAGGGGGAATTATTGGCATTTTATGCAGTATGTTAAAGAATACAATCTTTTTAAATCTGAAATAGCTTAAATTGTGAAATTTCATTTTGAATATAAACAGCATGATATAATTTTATGTAGCTAGTTACAAAAGATTCTAATTTGCAAGCCTGTATTTGGTTGCTTTGTGAAATTTAATCTGATTTTAATTTTAAATAGAAAAAATTATAATTTCTGTGCTTATGTATGAAGTATAAGATAAATGATTTTAAGCTGAACTTTATTTGAGAAATACTGTTATGAAGAGTAGTTACTTTGCTGCACAACTTTGTGGTAGTTGAAAGGTACTGTTATTAAGGAATGAAATATTTAAGAATATGAAATTATGGTCCTTTATAATTTAAACAGTAGCAAGATATTGATTGGTTATTCAGCAGTCTTTGAACTGAGTTATATTTAAGCTAAATTTTAGGTGTTAAATATTAAGTGACTGTATTATATTTGTTACTATTAACATAATCTATTAAAAATCCAGTATTTAAGACTTTAAATATATCTGTTTTGTTTATTAGTGGTAGGAACTATAGCTCATTATGGTTATTAAGGTATTTAAATAACTGGAAAACAGTTGAAGGTATTTGCTTTTCATTGATGAGAATTAATCAAATGGGTTTTTATCAAATTAATATGTATTTTGTATTTTAGGGATCTCATGTGACTAGAATGGAAGGCACATACATATTGCAGTGGAAGCATGTAGATAATGTGCATCACCATTCCTTTGATTTTCCATTGTCTTCTCATAAGTCCAAGATAATGTATTATTATGAGGTGCTAAAATCTCAGGACTATAAGTAAGTAGTTTTCATTTGAACATTTAGAATATTAACCATGGTTTTGTTTTCATTTAGTTTTTATTTTTATAAATTTTTTTATTTAATTATTTTTTGTTGTACTTTGACAGTAATGCACTTTGACTATCCGAGAATAAATCAACATCTTCTTTTGAAGCTTTCCCCAGTATCCATTCCAAAGATTTAAGAATGGCAAAAACTTTTGCCTGAAACACTGTTGAATTATCACTTAATCTAAACTTTTTAATAAGTCCAATTTCACCATTTGAATAAGCTCCAAAAGAGAAACCCACTCTTTCATCTATCTTTGAACCGTCAGTAAAAATTTCGTGCCCTTCACGAGTAGGGAGCTTCTTATCCCAAAAGTAATCAATAAGTAATACAGGATGAAGCTTATTAACTATTTTATAAGTCTCAATATTTGAAATATCCACTTGTAAATCAAAAACCTTATCAGATCTTCTACCATACTTTAAATCAAATAAAATACAGTCTCTTTGAGCAATCAAATAGATTGGCTCACAACCACTTAAAGTAAACAGACAAGCATTAGAAACTGTTCTGAAACAGTAATATTAACATCACAAGCCTTTGAATTTGAATTATCAAATTGTTAATTCTAACATTATTTTTATACCATGCTGCACACGAATATAATATCTTCCTTTCAATCCCTCTCTTATAAAATATTTTCTTTATATCACTATTAAGGCCTTTTATTTCATATAATTTATTAAAAATACTAGAACACTGTGTCTTGATCTTCTTCAAATGAGGAATGAAAGTGAGTTGATCATCAATTAAAATGTCAAGATAATTTAATTCTCAAACACTCTTTAAAGAATATCCTTCAATATGTCCTCTTGAAAGAGTAATCATTTTACCTCTTTTAGCTATGCCCATGATAGCACATTTCTTATAATCAAATTTCAATTTAACTTGTTTTGACCAGTTACTAATCAAATCCAATGTGTGATCAATATTAGCATCAATAGTATGTCTTCTACTTGCTGACACAATAATAATTATATTATCCGCATAAACTTGTACTTTCACATTCTCCTTAAATGGCAATTCAAACATTGAATCACATAAAATATTCCATAATATAGGTCCTGAATTAGAACCTTGAGGACAACCTCTGCCATAAAATCTTTTAATACATAGATTACCATTTTGAAAAGAAACGGAATGCTCATAAAGATAATGTTCAAATAACTTAAAAAGATTAAAAGGACAATTAAACCTTTTTAATTGAAACAAAACAAAAGGCCACCATACACTATTGAATGCACTCTTGACATCTAACGTAACAAGTGCTGTATGCAAATTCTATCTTCTATTTTGCTTTTACTTTTACTTCTATTTTTCTAAAAATTTCGTGCCCTTCACGAATAGGGAGCTTCTTATCCCAAAAGTAATCAATAAAGTAATGCAGGATGAACCTTATTAACTATTTTATAAGTCTCAATATTTGAAATATCCACTTGTAAATCAAAAACCTTATCATATCTTCTACCATACTTTAAATCAAATAAAATACAGTCTCTTTGAGCAATCAAATAGATTGGCTCACAACCACTTAAAGTAAAAAAACAAGCATTAGAAACTGTTCTGAAACAGTAATACTTAGCATTGCAAGCCTTTGAATTTGAATTAACAAATTGTTAATTCTAACATTATTTTTATACCATGCTGCACACGAATATAATATCTTCCTTTCAATCTCTCTCTTATAAAATATTTTCTTTATATCACTATTAGGCCTTTTATTTCATATAATTTATTAAAAATACTAGAACACTGTGTCTTGATCTTCTTCAAATTTCAATCAATTCTTATTTATCCAATAAATCACAAATAGCTAAAGTTGTACGCTTTCCTTCTATAAATCCATATTGAGATTGATTCAATATTTTGTTTTTATTCAAATAAAACCAGAATCTATTCATCATTAATTTATCTAATATCTTGCCAAAAATTGATAATAAACAAATCGATTTATATGATGAGGGATCCATTTTATCTTTTCCCGCTGTATTAAATAAAACTAAATTTTTCCAAATCTTAGGAAAAATACCATACTTCAAACAAGTATTATATATTTTACAAATGAAGTAAGAATCAATTCTTATTATTTCTTCTATTACATCTAAACAAAGTCCATCATAACCTGGAGCTTTTTCCTTATTCATTGACTCAACCACATTCAAAATTTCTTCCTCTGTAAAATCTAAATCCTTAAAATCATTTTCATAAGTCAGAGAATTTTGTCTTATGCCACTGAGAATCATCTTCAATCGTATCATCCGAAAAATGAAACTTAACCAGTTAATCCAATGTAGCTGTAATTGAGTTTGTTTCAGAGGCATCATCTCTTTTTAACCAACTCAAAGTAAGTGCAGATTTATACTTTCCCACAGTAATTTTATATGGAGTACCATAAGGTTGTTCCAAGTTAGTTTTCATACATAAATCATTCCACGAATAATTTTTGGCAATATTAATTTCTTTCTTATAAATCCCTCTTAACCTATTATATTTATCCTTAAATTAGAGGCAGGAAGGAATTTTCTTCTTGCAATCCTTAAATTAGACCTCAAAAGATCCAATTTCTTAGTCCACCAGACTGAGGACCCTTTTACATTAAACTTCTTTTTAATTTTATTTTTTTCACAAATGCTTACAATATCTTCAGTAAGTTTTTTAACTATATCATCCAAATTTTATCATTGATAATTACTATATTGCAACAAGATCAATAATTGCAACAAGATTAATATAATGCAACAAGATTACTATATTGCAATTTTATCATCAATAATTACTATATTGCAAATTTTATCATCAATAATTACTATCATCAATAATTGCAACAAGAGAGCTGAAGCATCTTTTTTAAAATTAATCCAATTTAAATTATTCAGTGAATACTTCTTTCTCATCATAGGAGAATGGTCCTTCTCGCCAAGATCAATTTCTATGTAGTTATGATCACTACAAGAAGTATCTGTAATAACTTTCCAATCAATATTAATGGAAGTATGCACAAGAGTAAGATCAATTCAAGAAGAACCGCTTGCTCCTTCAAAAGTAGGAGTAGAATCTGGATTATTCAATATACAAATCCGTGTGAATTAATAAATTCCAAAACTTGTTCTCCTCTAGAATCTTCCTCTTGATCACCCCAGACTTCACTTTTATTAATGTCTGCACCAATTACAAAATCATTACAAAATTCTTTACTCAAAACTCATGAAATATCATTCAAACTGAAAGTCAAATCTGTCTTAGGAGGACAATAGGCAGAAATTAACAAGAAATCTTGATCTCCGAAATTTATTTTCAAAACAACCAATGTATTTGAAATTAAAACTTCAATCACAGAAATTGTTTTGTCAAATATAACAATCCCTGCTAACGGGATATCATTATTGGGAAAATAAAGTCTAAATTGAGAAGAAAAACCCTTAACTTTATTTTCAGTATGATAGAGCTCTTGTACCAAAGCAAATGCATAATTTTGTTCTAAAGTTCTTTGTTGGAGTTGTGACATTGCAGTACGAGCATGGTGAAGATTTATTTGAACTCCTCTAATTTTTGTTGAGGAACTAAAGACCATAATTTGTTCTTCTTATTAATAGATCAAATTGCCTCTTCAAACATGAACAGTCTTTGTCCAAGCTAGAATGCTGCACGTCTAGCCCCATTTTATATTTGCTATTCACATTAGCACAATTTATGCACACTGGACTGTTTTTACAGTCCCAGTGATTATGTCCTGTTTGTGCACAATTAGCACATATTACTTCTTTAGTACATCTTTTGTGGAAATGCCCAAATTCCTGACATTTGCAGCGTCTTACTACATTCAAATATTATTTAACATTTATGCGAAACCAATTAAAATTAAACTTTCCTTGATTAATTACATTTTTAAATTTCTGAGGTTGAATTTCAACCATCCAATGAACCTTATTATTCTTTCCTTTTATTTGAAATAATGGATTAATCCACCATCTTCAAATATAGAGTTCTGTTTAATAACAGCTTCTTGTAATTCCTCTTTTCCAACTTCCACATCAATATTATATAATATAATTTTCGGATTTTTCTTAATCGGAGCCCTGACTTTAATATCCTCTTTTAACAAAACATTTGTTTTGATTTCCTCTTCTAGTTTATCAATTTCTTCATGATTTAAACATTCAGTGACAATTCCACCATTATTTATTTTTCTGACATTTTTAATTCCTATTTTCAATTTTGCAGGATCAATAGCTTCAACTACTTTCATCTTTACTTCCTCTGAAGACACTCCACTCACTTTAGGGTAAATCAAAGCAACATGTTCATCTTTCCTCTTAACTTTATCTTTGTTTGATATAACTTTTTCTTCCATTTTTTGTTCTCTAATAATATCCTCAAATGACTTTTCAACTATTTGTGGTTTTTGAACCACATCCAATCCTCCTTTTAAATTTTCTATTTCCAGCGCTTGGGAAACTATAAAATTAAATAGCGCTTCTTGCGCTTTAAAAACTTTCTTTCTTAGAGGAACTGTTACTCTAGTTGCCTCTTTCAAACAAGTTTCAATATCACTAATAAGTAACCTAGCTTCCTCTATCAGTTCGTTATGAGGAACAGCCACTGTCTGAACATCTTTGTCCATTTTTGATCTAATTCAATCGGGACTTTGGGGTTTCCCCGATTGAACTTTTGGAGTTTGGATTTCAACTTCTCCCCCCCCCCCCCCCTTAGGAGGAGGAGCCCTCAGACCACGACAAGATACCAAACTCCTGGGAAGTTTCTTTATTGGCTTTTCTAAATAAACTTTATCAAAGATAAATTACTTTTCCTATTATTCACACTTTAATCACAATTCTATAAGCCAATAACTCCCCCTGAGGGAATATTAGTGAGTAAGCTTAGCATAAGAATTTGAGGTTCTGAACGTCCGTGTGTGACAGTACAATACAAATGTAATTCACTGAAGGTTA